GTTCGCAAAACCCCACCCACATAAGAGTCAACTCTTCAGGTGTAACCGCCAGTCTCGAGGGACGACGCCTGCGTCTCCCGTAGACTTTCAAGCTCAGATCTTCTCGCCGCCACATTGGCGTGGTACTGGCAGAAGATCTGATTAGATTCCGCAGAGATATTACTCAGCCAGCATCCGCACTGAAAGCGCTGAAGCACACATCCAGGACTCGATGTTGCCTCGATACTACGTCTCAAGGAGTCCCTTCCCCTTTCAAAAGGGTGTTCCATCTCTACGGACAGGATACGAATTTGTGGAAGTAGAAGCAGTCCATGCTGGCCTGGGGCTCAAGGGACTGAAGTTGGACTTAACGGGTGTGATGGAATCCCCGCGCACGCTAGCCAGGCCGAAAATCGTATCACTCGACTCGTGGGCGTGGGCATTGTGCTGATACGGCGATCCGTGGTTAACGGAGGATCCGTCGTCCTTGAGGTGGCTCGATCGAGCACTCGATACGCCCGAGGCCGTGGTCCCCTTTTCGGCGTCCCGGGGAAAGCTCTTGGGCAGGTTCGAGTACGGGCGGGTCGGGTGGGTTCCCGGCCGCGTGTCGGTCTGGTTGCTGTGGAGGGAGGTGATGTTGACTCTGCTCATCAAGCCCGGGAACATCTTTGTCAGAAGTGGGCGGAGCGTCGGGAGACAGGCGCAGGTAACGGCGGATGAGATTTCGCCGATGGACCAGAGCGAGGCGTCGACGTTGGTCCAGGTGAAGTCTGCCGGTGTGCTGAGGTATTGGATGCGTACGATGGAAATGGCGACGGTGCTGGCCTTTGGTGTTACTAAAACGGACAAACGAGGTTTTTCATGCGTGAGACAGGATCTCCCAAGGTCGATAACTTACAAGAATCCAAGACTGAAGATGCCCATGAGGAGTGCTTTTTGTTTCCGCGGCAGGCTGAGATGCCAGAAAATGGGCAACGGCAGCGCAAAGACGGCAACGTCGGTGATGATGTTTCCAGCTGCGTTGACGTACCACTGCGGCTGATTGGGGATGCAGTGCGATACTACGGACTTGTCCCAGAACCCTTCGACTGGGAGGCATTGGAACGCGGCGATGAAGACCTGCGAGGTTGACCAGGCGCCGACCACGAGGAGGGCGACTGCGTAAATTCTACGCATCCGAGGTACGGCCATTATGCGGTAGTACTGGCACAAGAAGGAGAGTTTGATAGCGAGAAGGGCGATGTTGTAGAATACGATGGATATGTAGAACATCTTGAGTTGCAGTGTTAGTCGAGGGAACTGAGCCATCGTCACTGCTGTGACGAGGCGAGTGTGACTTCACTTACGTGCAAGTATTCCACAATAGCAGATGGCTTGAGGACGACGATGTGTCTGCCAAGACCATGATTGGTCACTTTCATGGTCGTCAGCTAATCTTCCTCCGCTAAGATTGCATGAGTATATAACTTACTGAGTGCGATGGCGATGCCACAACCTGTTGTTGCCAACTAGAACAACGAATTAGACTCAGCATCTTGACATTGAGGTACATATCGTCACTTTCACTCACCAGAGCCACAACAGCTAGTATATCATCGATACCGAAGAGCACGATAACCCTTGTCCTCGTATAGATCCTCAACCCAACCATCGCCGTCACAAACAGGATGCAGAAAACCACGGATGCGACCACTATGGTCCTTCGATCATCTTGATAAACTTCTAGTGGAATCGTTGTATCCATGGTTGCGTCGACGGGAAAGAATAGGCAGTATAGCTGAACTAGGCCGGATTTCTGCTGAGGACTAGTGAACTGAATGACGGGCACTGCCCGTGTAAGACCACAGTACAGATGAGGGATGTAGGAGAAGGAAAACCAAAGGCGGGTTGAACTGGATGGTGTTGTCGGAGATTGTCTCAGTATCTGTCGGGGATACTCGAGAGATATTAGTAAAAGAAGCACGAACAAGCAACGCAAACGAAGAAGTTCAGTCCATTCTGGAGGGGGTGTTCACGAAATAAGACGACACAAACGAGCATACCCAGACTTTTCCAAACAGCGTTTGCGCGAGGGATTGCCTTTGGGTCTAAGCTGCCCAGCACATCCCATCCTAGCAGATGACCGCTGCCGGTCGTAATCGAGTCATTCACTTCTACAACAGTACGTCTCCTCACATGGAGGCCTGTAACGCCGAGCAACTGATCCTGGGGGAAGGAGGCATGACAGCCTTTGGTGCGCGGCCGGATTTGTAGCCGCGCGACGTGCAGTAATGGAGGAAACGGAGGCGGAAACAGGTTGACGGGGCTTCCCTTCCCTGGGGTCAACTTAACCCACCCACATCGCGTGAGGCTCCACAAGCAGAGTTGCAGACCTACAACGCAATACAGAGAATACAGGAGATTTCCTGACTCTTCCAATTCCCTGCTTTTGTGGCATCGGGGGCGACAAAGAGGGGTTTGCTAGGAGTTCACACAAGCCCAAAAAACAGGCTTATCCGAACCAAGATTCTAGTTCACGAGTAGCCGACGTATCCATGTCCGCACTCCTTTGATCACTACAGTCGACCAATATGAACAAACGAGAGAACTATCAGATTGGAGGGAGAGAGGAAGCGGGGCTGCACACACTTCCCAAGGGAAGACCAGAGTTTAAATGGCGGAAGCCAAGTTGCGAGAACCAAAGAAGCAAATACCTATATAGACAGACTACCATATATAGCACTATAGTTTTCTCGGGAAGAGACAAGAGAGGCCAGACATGGATACAAAGATCGGACGTCTTCAGAATTTTCCCTCCCATCGCTATCCTCTTGTGAAGCAGCTCTTCTAGATCACCTGCTGGCCCTTGCTGCAACACACAGACATCATGAACCGACGTAAGAATGGCGGCCAGCATTAGCCACAGGGACGACCACACAGGTCCGAACTTTGTTCAAGGGAAGAGGGATACGGATACTTATCTTACATGCTTACAATGACAAAGTTGCTCGGACAGTCAAGAAAGGCTTGCGATGACAGCGGACGACCTTGCTCGATGACTCCGGACGCAGGTTGCGCATCGAATCATGATACGAATCTTGCACAAGCCCAGCCGGGTAGAGTTGGTCCACAGCGCTCAGTCCTCTTCGCTCTACCATCCGTCATCCCACCATCTCGAAAGGAAACAGTCGGTTCTACGACGGTCATCTACGCAGGGTTCTCTTGGTTTTTGGCTTTTGATATCTATCCGAAATCTTGGAGTTGCATATTCGCCTGTGTTTATCCCATCCTGTTGAACTCTTTTTTTGTCTCCCCGCTCCCGCAAGGACGGCACTTAATTCTCCCGACAAGTTGTGGACAGGTTCGGTCACAAGATTACCAGACGAATGAGTTAGACATCGGTTTTGTTACCAAGTTTACCTCGCGAGTAAACAAGAAAGACGAGATTTATAAGCGATTGATGCTGGTATATCAGCTTCGCCCATTCGAACTCAATCTTGCTCCACACGTTCTAGCAATACACCCTTCCATCGATTAATATGCTTGACACGTGCGAGGGCTCGAGAGGGCATGCTTCAAAACCTCAGGAGATGCAGAAAAGAACGAATCACAGAGTACGATGCTCCTCGTTCCGGGAGCGGGCCACCTCGGAAGCTACTGCAACCAGACGTTCAGTCATCATGTCCTGCAACCTAAGCCCAGCACACCCCGCATGCCAATGTTTCTCATTTTCCATCTGCTCTCTCGTCTCTAATATCAACCTTTCCATATTCCATCGAACGAAGAAAAGGAAACAAAGGGATGAGAAGGGCTACGGTAAGCAGAGCAAGTGACTGGAATACAATCCTTGTGTCCCCGTGCGAATCGCCGGCTACTTCGTCCAACGAGCGTCCGTTGATAGACATGCAGAATATAACTACGGACGCAAAGACGGGTGGAAGAGCACGAGTCGCACCCATGCCAGGCTCCGATGCCTCTACCCTGCCCAGCTGCCGTACGGGGGGCGGATCCTTGGCCGTCGTGGGCCGGCGTCTACGATTGACTGCTTGTCGTGTCCAATCTTGTCTCGTCCTGTCTCGACGCAAGTCCGTGCAACATGTATCGCTTGTCGCTTGTTGTGTCTTCGAAGTTCGCGGTTCGTCCCCGGCAGCCAAACCTCACCTTTGATACAGGACGAAAGAGGGCAGGAGAAACGTCTCATCGTGTATGACTGAAAAAGCTGTTCATTCTCTCCCATCAACATACCATTCTGCTAGACTATAGGGCATACATAGTACCATCGTCGCCTGTACGGTTCTATCACGGATTCAGGGTTCTCCTAAAGTTGAGTTGGGCAGAAGGCTTGACTCAAGTCAACCCCCCTCGGGCGCATTAGAGGATCATCGCTTCTATGAAGCCGGGAAATCTGATACATGTGACGAATCTGACAAACCCTCAACGTGCCAACCGAGTTTGAATGTTACCGCAGCATGCAAATCAGATTTTCGAATACTAAATGCCTGAAGGGCATCTGTACAACATCGGGATCGGCTTGCTGTGACGGATCATTTGCACGGCAATCGTGTCATTCATACGTTGGCCATATGTGAATCCCTAGACCAGGTATGTCCAGGGTCTCCAACACTTCTGTTGATTGGTTTCCGCGTCATCGCCGTCGCGACAGACGATCGCCTGCCACGTGCCAGTGTTGCATTACCGATGCTTCAGTGGTTATCTATACAAAAGCGCGCTTCATGAAAAGCACCCCATTCAGGCGCGGTCGAAGAGCGGTCTCTATTCTCGGGATCATATTTAGTAGACGCTTTGCAATGAGGTAGAATGTGGTTTTCACCCAGATGCTTCAAGCCGCCGCCAACGCCACCATCTTACAAGGCTGAGGACACCCTAGTCAGAACCGTCAGATGGCGATTTCCAACTACAGACGAAAGTATGCCTCGCAAATGAGACTTGTAAATGGTATAGTTCGTTTAATACCGTGATATGTCATGTACACTGCGCAAACTCGAAAACGCCGCCCAGTGCTGAGTCTTCTAAGACAGTCAGCCCCCCTGGGTAACCTTCCCCATGCAATCCGTATGCTTTTGCCATGGTATCATTGCCGTTTTCCCCTGAAATCTATTTTCATCATATTTCAACAAGCTTGTGTCCTGTCTTGAACCCGTTCCTTTGAGTCACCCATGAACTCCATATTCGCCAAGAGCCGTCATGGTAGTGTCGCTAATGTCTTCTTTGACATCATCCTTCCTCGCTGCTCGGCTGAATGCCAGCTTTGCAAAGCATCTTAAACAGCAAGGTTCGTCAAGATCTTGCCGTTGTACAGATAGCAGTAGCCGATGTTTCCACGGCCGATATCCGTTTACAATGTCTTCCCAAAAAGTTGTAGGAGAGGCCGTCGAACAGTACATCCTGCTGCGCTTTGCCGGTGTCGACTGTCAGTGCCGGCTGCCAGCCAGATACTGACGACTTTAGCTGGAAACCTCCACCTCTGGCGGTGGATCTGTGTTTCCATCTGTTGTGGTCTCCGCAGACGTGTCCATGCCTACAGGCGCCGGGGACACTGTAGGTGTTGGCACGTCGTCGTCCTTCCTCTCCTCAGTGTTCCTAGTATTAAACCAGCCGCCCTTCTCCCATTGTCCAGATGCATATAAGCATGATGCGCGCACTCCATCGTCCACAATTCCCAAGAGAAGCGTGTTGAGTCGCTTGAAATCAATAGGCTTGAGAATCCACCCATCAAATCCGGCATCGATGTATTTGTCCTTCTCTCGTTCAATCAGAGATGCAGAAACTGCAAATACTGGAATACGGCCGTTGTGAGTTGCGATCGCTGAGTGCCCCCCGTGGTCGCTGGACTTTTCGTGGGCTCGTATCATCTTTGTGCTTGTCAGGCCATCTACAATCGGCATCTAGGGAGTCCAGGCGTCAGTCGGCATCACACAAGCCTTTAGCGGTTAGTACGACATACCTGCATGTCCATTAACACCACATCGAAGGTTTCAGGCCTCTCCTTGTAGACAGTAGCGCAATCCTCGCCGTTGACAGCATGGGAAACCTGGTGGCCAGATTTCTCTAGGCGCTTTCGCAGAATTCTCGAATTGATAGGGTCGTCTTCCGCGATCAAGACTTGGAGCTTCGTATCGTCGAAAGCCGAAACAACGCTTGGCGCGGTGCCGGCAGTGCTACCGATTGTGCCAGCTTCCGATGCACCGCCTAGCTTTGAGCGACTACTGACTTCAAAGAGAAATCGTGAGGAGTCGCTTTGCTGTGACTGTGGTGGTACGGATGTCTCATCAACGTACTCATCTGGCACCTTGACAGCTCTGATGGGCGTTTTCGCATCTGTAACTGTCGCGTACCCAACCTCTGAAGGCTTGGAGGCTTCCATGCTTGAGATGCTGGGGTTGCTTCGACGCGAGGTAGGGGATTCCATGCGCCTCGCAGTCGATGCTCCAGCAGTGCGGCTCTCCGAAGACCTCGGTCTCTGCGAATACTCCCAAGACTGCTGTCGCATAGTCGACGGTCGGTTCATGTCAGCTTCGCCAATAGAAAGTGGCGTCTGAATTGCGTCGATCAAGCGATCTGCATCACTTCTAGAGCTCTGGCCACTGACTTTGCTTCCTCCCGTACCTGCTGTCTTCATACTTTCGAAGCTTCGCGTCTCGGAACCTAGAGCATCTGTCCCGCCTTCCTCAACCATCGATATCTTGCTGCCGCGATCGATGAGCATCATCTCGCCTTCGTTATCTGGTACAGTTGCCGTTGTGACAGAAGCCACGCTTGAAGTAGGGTCCGACTTTGCAGACTTCTGACCGCCCTCCGGTGGCACAGGCACATCGCCAGGCAGGTCGAACGGCAGCTGAATCACAAATCTCGAACCGATCCCTTGTTCCGATTTTAACCGTAGCTGGCCATCCATATTGCGGACGATTCTAGCAACGACGGCCAAGCCCAGACCCAATATCCTAGAGTCTTTGCTCGCTTCGTCATCATCTGGGAACATGGAGCTGACTTCGTCGGTCTCGACGCTCACTTGCTCGAGATCCCTGAACAGTGTGTCGAGCTGCTTAGCCGTCATTCCTTTGCCTGTATCTTCAACAACAATCTCGACGCGTACTCGTCGTTCGAGGACCTCGCTGACGTATAGTTCGACTCTGACCGATCCACTGGATGTGTTTTGCACTGCATTGGCTGCAACGTTCGAAATAGCTTGTCTGAGGCGTCGGCTGTCACCGCATACGTGCTGTGGCAGTCCAGGATGTTCTATAACCTGATACTCGATGCCCTTTCTCTTGGCGTCGTTGGTGAACGGGTCTGTCGCTTCTCGGATGCACATGCTGAAATCGAATACTTCGTCTTTAATCAGATTCTGGCCCTCCTCAGTTTTCGTCAAGTCGAGCAGGTCGTTGATCACGTAGATGAGTGACTTTGAAGCGGAATGCGACTTGGCGAGATTATCGCGCGTCTCTTGGTCGAGAGAACCCTCCAACGCGATCTCCAAATAATTGATGATGGCATTCAGCGGCGTCCGTACTTCGTGGGCTGAGTTCGCCAGCAAGAGGCGCGTCAGTCGGCTACTTTGCAATGCAGCCTCCTTCTGTCTCCATACTTCAATGAATTTGCCGTAGACCAAACAGAGAACGGCAGCTGTCTCAACTTGTTCCTCTGACCATTCTCGGCATTTCCGAAGTATAGTCTCATGCCAAGTCTTGAAACTTTTCCGAGGCTCGAGATAGGCTTGAGTGCCCTCGCGAAGAGTCTTTTCGTAAGGGTTTCCAGCCCACTTGACCTCTTTGACTTGGCCTTTGCGGAAGAAGACAATGAAATCGCTACCTCCGACACTCAACGGAACATACAGCAAGCCTGCGATTACGGTAAATCCAAGAGGGTATCGCAGATCTGGGAAGTCCTCTTTGATGTCCTGAGAGGTGACCACTGACGTGAGCTCCCGCAAGCGTAGATATTCTAGCATGGCCAACGCTTCTTGCGAATGCTCGAGATCGCCCAAAATTTTCGTTTCCCCTCGGATCGAGAGCATGCCAAAGTCAGCATCGAATAATTTCAAAAGATCGTCGGATGAAGCAATGATGTAACCCGAAGGATTGCTCTCTGACGGTGCCGTGTTGATGAGTTTCCTGGCCTGCAGTCGAGTAGCGTATGATAACCTCTCAATATTGCGAGACGCGGTGTCTCCCACTAGACGACACATCTTTCTGATGGGGAAGGAGACACGCATGCCCTTCCGGCCATATGAGTGGCAGGCAATGAGACCCCAAAGCTCGTTGAAGGCATTAATAGACACCGACATGGATGACCGTACAGCCATGTTCTTCAGGTACTTGATGTGGATGGGTGACATGGCACGCAAGTAAGAATGGCTGAGGTCCAAAGGTACCTCGAGGTCTTCTTTCGCCCTGCAGACCAGACGTGCGGTTTCCAGGTCCCTGTCATATAGGAGCCTCACCTTGTTCAGCTTGTACAGCTCGCGAGCCTGTCGCGGTATGTCCGAGGCGGGGAAGTGCAGACCCTTGTATAAATCCTTGGTGTGCGAGGTGTCGACGAGTTCCGTAACCACTTTTCCGTTGAACGAAGAATCGAACTGATATATCATGACCCGGTGAAACCCTGTCAGTTCCTTGACGATGCCCACCAGAATTTTGAGAAACCCTTCCAGGTTTATGGCCGCCGCAAGTTGCTCTTGAACCTGGGACATGATATCGAAGACCTGCATAGCACCAGCGTCGCCTCGGCGTTTGCGTGCGCTTCGCAACACCCTCAATGGCTTGCTCAAGATTTCGGTGCTCTCCGCTAATTCTTCCGATGTGGGATTTGATTGCAAGGTATCTTCAGGGGTCATCGGCGTGGCCTCTTCCGGGGGTCGTAGTGGGAATTGATGATCGTCGTCGACTTCAAATTCGCAAATGACGAGTTCTGGATGCGCGGGATTGATGTGAATTGCGCACCAGAGTTTGACACTCTTCTTTTTCGGGGGGCGGATAGATAGACTGAAGACTTCGGGTCCGTTTATGGCTGGGTCTGCGTCTTCGTCGCGAATGAAGTCGATATGGTCTAGGAGGTTATCTTGCTGCTCCTCGCTCAATATATCCAGAAAACTTTTAAGTCGGAAAAGCTGCTGAGGAGAGTATCCAATCAATTTCTCCGTGTTCTCGCTGGCGCAGCGAACAGAGAATTGGCCGTGGCTTTCTTCGCGAATGGCCACTAATGCGCCAAATCCTTGCACAGCTCCCGGGGTATGGATAGGCTCATCCTCACAAGTTTGTAATACACCGTCGGTACCTGTGATGACATGATGCCCTTCATCTGTCATGACGTATTTGAAGCGCGTTGTCAGGAGAGTATCGGTAGCCGAGTCTCCAAGGGCACTGGTAGATGATGCCTGGTTTTGCGAATGCTCATCGCCGGGTAGTGAGTCCTCTTCAGCATCTGAAGCAACATCTTGAAATATATCCAGCGGTTGCGAGGTGTTGTGACGTGCGGCATCGGCTTGAACGCTGGACATGGGGCCAGACCCGGCGTTCTTCCTCCTCGCTTGGATTCCTTGTCGATCGCCAGGCGAGGTGACATTGGATAGCGGCGTGGACGCAGAATCGCGACGAGGAACAGCTTCGAAGGCGGCGGTATCGATTCGAGGATTGCTCGGACGGGGGGCTTGGTATTGGCCATGGTCGGGTACTCTGGGGAAGTAGTCATGCTCGCCAGAGGTTCTGCCGGTGCGATCTACGCGCACGACGGAGCGGATCGGGTAAACGCGATCCGAGGGATCGGGACTTGCAGTGTGGCCGAGTTGGCGATCAGAATTAGCACTCCATGATGAGGAACAGCTCAGGGGAGCGTTGACGGAGACGGGAGTAGGAGCTGCAGACGAGTCTGGCATGTGCGGCGTGACAGTATCGGAACGGACGCTGGGGATGGGAGTCGCCTCCGAGGAGTCTGTCGTCGAGCGGCTGGCAAAGGAAACGGAGGGCCGCCGTGCGTCGGACGGGGCGTCCATGTCCTCGGTTGAATATGGCAAAAAAGACCTAAAAGTCTATCAACTCCGACGCAGTTATGTGAATGAGGCCTCGCCGGAAGAGGCTCAAAGGTCCGTAATCAGTGATACTTGGCATGGAGCGAAGGCGCGTAGAGTAATGTGTTGAGCCAGCTGGTGAGATGCAAGGATACAAGAGTACGCGTGAACCTTGAATGAAGAGGCGAATGAGGGGGACTGGAGAGGAGTGTAATGCAAATGTGGTGCAAACGTTGGTGAGAAAGAATTAGAACCAAACTCCAAGGATTCAAGAAAGAGCGCAGAGGCTCGCCGTGATCTAGAATTTCCCTTGTATGGGTGCTCTCTCCCCCTGCTTGCAGTGCGGTGCGTAGGATTCGTCTACTCGATCATTCGGTCGTCGAAGAGGGGCGTGCGGGATGGGGATGTCGGGGTGGGATGCAATTGTGCGCGGACGGGTCGAGATTTGGTGGCAGTGGGCCGGGGTTGGGAAATGGGAAATCGAAAGCTGAGGGCGCAGGGCGAGCTCGTGGCAAGGTGAGGTGGGTAAAGCTACCTTGGCCAAACCGTAAGGTAAGGTAGCTGAGGTAGACGTCGAGAGATCGCTGGGTTGTAGCGAGAGAGCTTCGCGTGCTCTGTGCCGTATCGTCTATCGAAAGTGCAACAACAAGTGAAGAGAGAGGAGACTGGAGATGGGCACTTCAGCCTCGGAATTCCTCAATTCTCAGGTCTGGGCCCGTGGTGGTGTGGTGTGTGTACCGGGTTGGATCGATCGATGAAGGAAAGGCGACCAAAGGTGAGGGAGGTGTGTGTGTGTGTGTAGGTAAGTAAGTGGCAGAGCAAAGCCGTACCTAAACTCGTGGCTGAGAACAGGAAGGTAGGTGGCCAAAGCAGCACACCTACTGGATTCGCTACTCTGATGCCCTATGTCCAGTATAAAGGAAAGACCTTATTCATAGGTTAGGGGGGTTATAGGTGCAATAGGTAGGTAGGATGGCACGAGAAAAGGTACCTTCTATCAGCCAGAGCTTGATCGGTGGTAGAGGAGGCGATGCGATGCAGATGCAATCAGTGGACAGGCAGGTGTTATGGTAAGGTATACTTTGGAAAGCGCGGTCGAGGGTTGGAAGACGAAGGCAAAGAAAGACCAGCAAGAGATGAGGCTAGTGAGTAGGCATTGCCTACGAAGAAGTGGCTGATGGAAACATGCAAAGTATGAACACAAGTGGCGGGCTGAGGCAGGTAGAATGGTGAGCGGTAGACAGTCAGTAACGGGGATCTTTCAAGCCCCAGCCCGAGAGTGGCAAATGAAGAATTATCACCGTGCAGGGAAGTGGAAGGCGAAAAGAAGAACGGCAAATGGGCAGGGTTGGTGAGGTCAGGTATCTGGAGAGGCGAAGAGGGGCCGGTATCCGTACCTCTCGCAGGGACGGCTACAGTAACCTACCTAGGCACATTAAGATGAATGATGCACAAAGTAGGTACTCCGTACTGCTTTACATACAGGCAGGCGACTTTACAGCCAGTACGGACCTGGGAGCAGAGAGGTGAAGGCAAGGGAGGGAAGCCCGTCTCGTGTGCCGGCTAACATCAATAACGAAAAGGTACATTGACCGGCCAGTACAAGTATGCGTAAATCGGAGAGTACGTAGTAGAGGCAAAAGCGTCTCGATAAACAGGTCTGATAGGGCAAGCGTCGAAGCAGGAGCGCTATCCATAGTACACCAAATTGAAAGTCCCAAGGTCATGACGCAGACAACACAGACAGCGCACCTAAGTTGTGCAGGCACGCAGGATCTGGGAAGCGCAGACGAGACGGGGAAACGGGCACATGGGAAGACTGGAAGGTAAAGACGAGACGACAACAAAAACAGGAATGAGATGCGGCGTGGCCCGGTCCAGTCAACCCAATCCGATCCAGTTTGTTGCTCGCGGTCACCCAGTCAAACCCAGTCCCAGACTCCCAGTCAAACCCGGTCGAGTTCAATCCAGTCCAGTCCAGTCCAGTCCAGTCCAGTCTAGTCCAGTCGAAACCACGATCCACAATCCAGTCACGGAGCGGTCAATATGATGGTCATCAGCGCTCTGCATAGGCAGACGGATAATACCGTCTGAGTCGTGCGCCGAATGCTGTACGAGACCTACAGCGGCAGCAGTGGCAGAAATCTTCCTTTTGCAACAAAGAGGGAGCAGGTAGCGAAAGCAGAAGCAGCAGCAGGTTTGGTGAGGTATCCGTACCTACTCCCTACAAAGTCTCGGGATGGATGCGAGAGACAAGAACATGGAATCATGGATCCAGGATGGACTGCCTAGCCCTGTTTAGTGTGCCGATCATCAATCAAGTGGCCCCCTCCGTGGGACAAGTTGGAATCGCGAACCAAGCCCACTCATCAGTCTTTTTACGGAGTACCTACGGATACTGAGGTGCAAAACCGCTTAACGACGTGAGAGACAGGCCCCCAGTGGCCCCCAAATGGAGGGGAACACGACCTACCTACACAGGCACACAGGGGAGACACCGAGGGTGGGAAGGGACGATTGATCCAAGGTCCTCCCAGAGCTGCTTCGTCCGCTTGCGGTACCTACCCCACTAGACTTACCTAAGCAATTGAGGTACCTGGAAGTATGTCTGGCTAACCTTGGTTAGGAGCATTTCATCCGGTTGCAACGAACACGAGACCCTAGGGACCCCGAGCTCTCAAGGCCAACGTTCGGACACCAGGCCGCTTGCTCTTTTGCGCTGCTGTGCTCGTGGCTGCTTAGCTGCCATCTCTCTACTGCTTTCCTCAAAACACGGCGAAGTGCAGCGCATCACGGCGACCGGGGTGGCATGTCGGGTATCCATTCTCTCATATGATACGGAGTACTGCGTACAAAAAGATGGCCGTGTCTGTCGGCATACGGAGCCTCGGCCATAGCTAATTTCGAATAAAAAAAATGAATCACTTCGCCGCAGGGCTCGACGGGCTCTTGTTTTGTTCCACCACAAGATGCCAGACATCTTGTCTGGCCCGCCTATCTTGATGCAAGTCTCGGTCGAAGGAACGGTATGTAAGTCATGCAAGGCAATCGGGGTATCGTATAAACATAAAGCTGAAAAGATGATACATCGTGCGCTTAGGAAGGGAAAGAATGATGAAAACCGTTACAAAAGTTGGTAGTCGGAGCTGCTAATCACAGAGTGGAAGGACAGCTTTGAAATCCTAGCAGCGATTGACCAAGGAGCAACTTGGCAGCATCCGTCCACACCGGAGCTGGTACCAATGGGGATGTTCTATCCGGCTTGATGGTTTTTTGCATGCGCAAAATGCTGGTTTACCTAAGCAGCTAAGCAACTTGAGGTAAGAGTGGCACGAAGCAGTGTGGGGTGGAGGGGAAAGGGATCGGGGTTTCCAGCGTGCTGAAAAGGCGGGAATCGAGAAAGGCAGATCTTGCCTTTCGCTACATTCTGTTCGTACTGGAATTCGGAGACAGTCATTGCAGTCAACGAGGGCGTCTGGAGGGGTTTTGGCAGTCTGGGTGACGACTGGGATATCCCCCTGACTATGCATACCCTGGGCCGGGAGGTAGCTCGCTTGATTGGATGCTAACCTGGCGTGTCACAGGCTCCATGATGCGCTCTTCTCCTTGTTGTGGCTGGCGTCAAGAGTCCAGTGCCGAGTCGCGAGTGTCAGATTTCGTCCCCAAGCTGTGTGTGTGTGGCTGGCACGCCTGGCAATCCACAACAGGAGAGAAAGAGAGAGGGAGAGGAAGAGAGAGGTGGCGATGAGAAGGACGCCGTGGGTGGTGGTCAAGTGGGGTATACAAAATTCGTGGTGTTGTCGAGGATGGGATTCTCAGAATTGCCTATCCTTCAAAAGGCTGTGTCAGTGTCGATCCTTGCTTGGACAGACTTGACTCTCCACTCGCGTCAACTCTGATGGATCCCCAGCTGCACGTGCCCGCTCGGACAACCTGCCGCGCCTGCCAACCTGCTTCAAGCTTGTCAGGCTTGCTTGCAATCCTGCCTGCTCCATCCTCCTCGCCTTTTCCTGTAGGTAAGGGTAAGGGTACCTTACGGAGAGACAGTCTACGTTTCCAACGAAATTTTTCAACGAAAGACTCCCAGCTACGGAGAAGAAAACTGAAGCCCAAGTCTTCCCGTCGCTGCGACCATTGTCTGTTATCCTTGGCTACTCATGTCTGAGCTGAGGGGGAAACAGGCTTCATCCAAGTTGCTTCTCCAAATTGAGCATGATGGGGGCCGGGTTCCAGCCCAGACTTCTCCTTTGATGTACTTCAACTACCTACCACCCTGGCAAGCTGGCACGGCGTTCACAGCAATTCAAGTAACAAGTAGGGTCTGGAACGCGGTCCGTACCCGACCAATTCTTCGGACACAATCAAAGACAACCTTACTGCCCAACATACACCATCCACATTCCATACATTCCTTATTATGCCGTGCGTGCCCATCGAGGCCCCTGGACTCCAGCTGACGGGCTATTCGTCGACGCCAGTCTCAAAACCGGATTGCATCTCAAATGCGGCGCCTAGGCGAGCAAGTAGGAAGGCAGGCACCCGCCCAAGCATTCTAAATTCTTTTCTCATTTACCGGTAGACGGTAGACCCCGACGACAGTTCTCCCCACCGCCTAGCCGAGTCTCGGGCTAGGGTAACCGGGCAGTTTGCAATTCCTTCCTGCTGTTCCTATTTCTTCTAGGTATGGCACGCCTGGCAGCCTGGTGTACGGAGTGAGGTACTTTCCTGGCGTGGCTCCTTAGATAAGCACGTACGTGACCATACGTCGGTGTCTTCGGTAGCAAGGCAGGCACGCCGCACGACCAGGGCCCATCTCAGCCCTGCTCAGGTCCTACGTCATAAACTGTAGTCTGTGCACTTTGCTTCCAGATCTTCCAGTCCAATCAGAGCCCGTTCATCAACCCCACCCTCAGATCCGAACCACCAAGTATGACAGCTGCTTGGTTGAAATATCCGGCGAAGAAAGCCTCTTTTCTCTCTCTTCAAGTCCAAATTCACCAACCCATCCGACCGCATCCGGCTCTCACTATTACTTCACGGACGGGCACTTCCCGCTCTCCGAGACTTTGGGTTTATAATTCGGGACCTTAAGCCTCCTGTCGGGTAGCTAGTGTCGACGTTATTTCCTACAGCTGTTACCCACAGGACCCTTCGTCTTAAATCAACGCCACCGCCACATATCTTGACGGCCTGGGTGCCCTTCACCCACGTCTCAACGCCTCACTATTGTTATCCTGAGCTTGCTCCAACCCGGCTCTTTTGTGGCCGTTGACAGCTATATTTCTCGGCTGAACATGACGTGTTGACTTCGTGACTGCCCCGTCTATTGCCAGGAATTCGACTCTGCTGTGTCGGTTCTGTTGTAAACAATAAGAACGAGACACATGCTGGGCCCAGCTCTGGATTGTGCCGCCCACGCCGGGCCCATGTCGTTCTGAGACCCCCAGCGGGAGACACGGGTCACACAGCAAACTGCGTTCTTTGTTCAAAGGCTCCGCGGCTTGTTTCACTCACGTGCTTTCTGCCGCTCCTGGTGCTCGGCCCCTGTCCGTACCTGCTCATGAGCCATCCCGTCATCCGTGATCTGCCTTCTCCTACGATGTGCCACCTCGAGTGAGATACGGGTGCTGTTGGGGCTGACAGGCCATCGCTAGATCGGTCTAGACCCTGACGAGGGTTCCGTAGACCCTGACGAGGCTCGGAACCCTCGTCGCTTTTTAAGCATAATTTTGTGGTGTTGAATCTCCGGGCTGCATGGCTCATTAATTGTGCCTGATAGGCGTGCTCATACCGTACCCACGACATCTATTGAGTTCCCGTTCTATATCGAGGTTACTTGACGTGAATGGGGGCAGAGATGGGCGCATCTTGCCTGCAAAGTAGCCAAAGATTTGATAGCATTGGCCAAGAGGATGGAGTCTCAACTTATCAGCCATGAGCAATAGTTGAGTTGACCTATCTCTCAGACTGGGCTTTCAAAGTTTGCGGCCACCACAACGTATCAACAAACAGAAGCATTCGAAGGTCCCATGAGTTCCAAAAATTGACGTATTTACTCGGAGTGAATTGTCCACTTCATACCTGGTCATTGCCCAGGTACAAAGTAATGTTCATTGACATGAGATGACTCACGATTCAGGCTTGTGAAGACGGAGCCATGAACACCTCTAAAAGCCTGCCACGTTGCCTCGAATCGCGGTGCTCGTCCAGATAGATCCACATACTTGCTGTTAGAAGGGAAACATACCAATACGCGATGAACG